GAGAGAGAGAGAGAGAGAGAGAGAGAGAGAGAGAGAGAGAGAGAGAGAGAGAGAGAGAGAGAGTTGAGCGATACAAGATTGGTTGTGCGGTCCAAGATTGGTTGTGAGGTCCAAGACGAAGTAGCTGCCATAGCCGCGGAGCTCGGGACACGGAGGAGATAGGAAGGTGAAGTAGAGAAGGGAGGAGAGACCGGAAATGAAAGAGAAGACATAGCAGAGGGAGAAGGAAGGAAGGACAACGAAGTTGAAGACAGACATAGACGAGGGTGAACAAAAAAACAACAAAAAAAAAAAGAGAGAAAGGGCGAGAAAGAAGAAAGGTGGAGGAGGAAGAGAAGGGAGGTTGGCGAGGAAGAAGGTGCCGGCAGCCATAGCCGACCTAGAGGTGGACTGGGCGTTGACCAGAAGGTTGACCGGAGCGTTGACCGGGGTGTGACCACGTTGACCAAGCGTTGACCGAGGCGTTGACCGGAGCCGTTGACCACGATTTTGACCAAGCTGGAGTTGGTATAATCTCGCCAAGCCCTTAGCCTATCCCCTCGCCCTATGGATGTGCACTCACCCTATGGTACTTGCTGAGTCTGAGTCTGTCTGTCTCTTCTTTCTGCATTGAGTCTCTTCTGTCCAGGTGATAGGACTCCGTGTATGAAGGATAGGGCCTCGTTGACCAAACCCACATGGGCTGAGTAGGGCTAAAGACTGTGTCTGATGACTCGACTATCCCGGAGGACACGAACCCTCCCAAGGACCGGTAGTGACCGGCGGGCTGCTCGGTGTCGCACAGTAGGCCCAAAATCCGAGCTGTGGCCTGCACAACGGGCCGTCTAAGTCTTGAGAGGATCTGCTGACCGCGTCGTCCTGTTTGCGATGTTAAAGAATTCCTGAGGAGTTACGGGGGATCTACTTAAATGCCTCCTGGTCAGCAACAAATCCTGTAGTGACGGCTGTAGTATTAGAGTCCAGGCTAGAGACCATTGTTGACAGGGTTCTATACAGATCCTGTGGTCCATAGACTGAGTCAGTCTTAGGTAAGTCGGTTAGGGGGGACGTCTAAGTGGTGAGGAGCAGAACCGTCACTTGGTTGTGCGTCTGTCACCATGGTAGACACGCGTACAGGAACGAGCACCTCCCCTTATACAGCAGAGTAGGATCCGAGAGCCACCGTCATCCTGAAAGAGAGAAGAGAGAAGAAGGAGGTGAAGAAGAAGGCCTTGATAGAAGAACAGGCGGCGAAGTTGAAGAAGATTGAGGAGGAGATGGCCAGAGAAAAAGAGAAGTAAGAAGAAGAAGAGAAGCTCAAGGCAGTAGAAGAGGAGGAAGAGGTAGAAGAACCGCCACTGGAAAGGCGAAGGACAGGAGGAAGATGAAAATCCAGTGGAACAAAGGAAGATCAGATGGAGAAGAAGATTACAGAGTGGGTTGCTGGTTTGTCCCTGGGAGAAGAAGAGGAGGCACTAATGTATGTGCCCAGGGAAGAACAAGAGGCGGCCATGAGAGAGTGGGATGCAGAAGAAGACCCACTCAAGCGGCAGGCTATAGAAGATGAGAAGAGGATGTAGTGGAAGTTCCGACTGACGAGGGAGAAGAAAAGGAGAATGGAGGCGGCAAGCCAGGCGGCGAAAGAATTGGAGGAGGTAAAGAAGCAAAGAGCGCAGATGGCGACGCAGGTGGACCTCCTGGGGAAGATGGAGATCATGGCGAGAAACATAGAGCGCCTGGCCCAGGTCCAGGAAGAACAATATTTGTTTGGTAGAGGTCAGGACATTGCCTTGCGCTCTATACGTCTGGGACTCGAGGACTTTGCAAGGGAATTAGCCACGCAGGTGGGCTTAGAGTTGAAGGCCCGCCTAGAGGGCACGGAGCGTTATTGCACGGGCGCCATATAAGGCGCCAGACTAACTGCTCCCAAGGAGGAGGAAGCACGTCCCCGAAGGGAGCCCGTCATAGTCAAGTTCCCTGACTCCTATAGCGGGAAGAAAGAGGAGAATTTTGACAATTGGGAAGCCAATGTCAAAACCTATGTACATCTGCAGAAGGTCTCCCCAGACGAGCATGTCCTTATAGCCGTCCATGCCCTCCGAGACGAAGCAGCGAGCTTCGCCCGTTCCTTGTGTCTCGCCGCCAACTATAATCATGATTTAGTCGCCTATTCTGCGTTCACTCCCCTCACTGACTTCCTTAAATTATTGCGTGAATGATTCGCGGATGTCTCACGCAGTGTCAAAGCCTCCGATAGATTGCAAACCATCCACTCTCGTCAGTGGAAGAGTGCTAAAGCACTCAAGGGTGTGATGGACGAGCTAGTCGCCGTCCCGAACCATGGGGTCACTGAGACCCAACTGCTCAACCTCTTCTATCGTGCAATGCCCGAACAGTTGCGCGAGCATTTCTTTGAGAAGAGTCAGCAGCCTACCATGACCTACGACGTTTTGAGCAGGGAAGTGGTAACCTTTGAAGCGCGATCCATGTCAATTTCCACTTTTTGGCATAAGGACCTAGACAAGGGCAAAAAGTGGAAAGGTCGCACCATCTCAGGACAGGTCAAGACCAAGGATCGCTTGATCCTTACTTTAGATGAGGGTGGTGTAGACGAAGTCCCCTACGAGCAGATAGAATGGGGACTAGAAGAGGAGGAGGACAGTAACGTTAGTCAGGGGAGGACGTACGCTGTTGTCGCAGTCGGGGGGAGGCCGCAAGGAAGAGGAGGAGGCCAGGGCCAAGGGGTCCGGGCCTCAGGTGGCCGTTCCCAGGGCGATCGGGGGGTTGGTGGTAGAGGAGGAAACCGCCAAGCAGGAGGAAACCGCCAAGCAGGAGGAAGGGATCAAGGTCCCCCGCAAAACCGTTTTGGTAACCGTTCATCTAATAGGGGTAATAGGTCACCCTATAGGAGAGGAGGTTGGCACCTAGGTCTACCACAGGGCCGACCGTGGGAAGATTTGGGCCTGGACCAGCGTGTTTGGCAACAGCGTGTGGACCAGGGGCAGTGCATATATTGCGGTGACCATGGCCACATCATCAAATATTGTCCAAAGTATAGAGAGGCCCGATGGGCTGCCCAGGGGTCAAAAGGCAGTCGTCGGTAGGGGTAGCAACTGCCCCTACCATAAGGCCATGTGGGGAAATGAGCGCGA